AAAGAAAAAAAATTTAATTAAAAAATTTGTGAACGAGAGTAGTTCTGTAACGGTCATTTGTAGCAGCCATTTTGTACCAGTGTTTCATTCCGCATTAAACGTTATTTTTTGCAAAACCGCAGTACTTTCATATTTTTACAGTCCATTAAAGATCGACAAACATCTGGTCCGTCGAGGCGGATCAAGAAGAAAAGAGAGACAACTTCGCAAGCAAATAAGATTGGGTCAAACTTCATTAAGTCACCTATCCAAGGTAGGAGGAATTTACCTGTCCGTTATACGTGGTAGACAGTTTAAAATGGATCAACTCGAGAAATTAAAGAAAAAGCGCGCTTCGATAAGAGCTAGTGTGACGAAATTAATTAGTAAAATCGATAGTTTAATTGAAAGCGACGATAGAGAGACAGAAACTCATCTAGAAATACTGGATCAGTTGAGTCGAAAGGAAGAGTCATTGAGAACCTTAAACGGGGAGATTGAGGGTTTCATTACTAGCCCAACTGATTATGACACTGAGATAGTCAATAGTGAAGAANTGTCACAGTGACCTAGATTTCATCGACTTCTGATTGGTGTGTGGAACTGTTTTACAGTTGTATTCGCATCGAAAGTTGAGCACTGCTCAACTCACTTTTACGCTGGTTTTATGACCTGCTCAGGCTAAAATATCATGGTCACGTGATTAAAAGCTTTTACAGCGAGGGGTTTTACACCCATTTTTATGCTAGTGTGAGCTGCCGGGGAGGTTGGAAAAGACTCTCTGATATGGCCACAGGTCAGTGACCTACTTTCTTGTCAAGGATGGCGTTACGTTCAGTTACGCGTTACGTGAGTGGAGGAGAGTCAGAGGAGTCGACTATAAGACGATGTACATTCGAGTAAACGACACCATTTAAAAACAAAACAAGAGTTTATTAAACTGACTAACTAAAGAAAATTTACACAAAACTCCTTCAACGTAGCAGAGAGAGAGTTCACAATAATATTTCATACCTCTGGGATAATATCAGATGGATACTCCGGTTTTAATTTCTGATATGCGGTGCGAGGTGTGGCTCAAGGTGGAGTAGGTCTGCAATGGGGAAAACTTCGATGTCCGACTCTGTCGCTGTTCGTTCGATTGGCAACTCCCCCGATTGAAGAAGGAGGAGGCTTTTTATACGTTTTGCTGTGAGAAAAGTCGTCATGTGACCCATGTCTTAGCAGGTATGAGGTTAATCGTCAACATTAAGACTTGCAGACGGCTGTTATTGTTAGATGGTCGAATATTTACGTTAAAGGAAAGAATTGTAACGTGATACTTAATATGTTTATATAAGAGAGAGAGTTGATTTCGTTTTTCTGACGATGGGTTTTTTTTTTCCTTTTAAAGTGATAAATTTATTCAAAATATGTTACAGTTGTTAAAATTTGGAAGAAAGAAAAACAAATTGCCCACGGGTCGGATCTCACACTAGTGGAGTCTTGTCCTAACAGCACAGTTAAAACTGCAGGGCTGAGAGAGATTCAGTTATTGTTTGGTGAATCAGTGATAGTTTTTTGAACCAAGCTCAACCAGATGGTTAAGTCATGGTGAAGTTGTGTTAAGACTCAAAGAAATTTATTCAGCTGTTGTAATAAGTTTGGAAAGAGAAAGTGAAAAAAGGATGTGAGAACTAAAGGGCTCTGTTCATTCATCACGGAATATAGCTTTATTGCCATAATGCTGATGATGTGTGAGGTTTTGTCTGTAATCAACAGGTTATCTAAATTATTCCAAATGATGATGGAGATCTTTCAATAGTGAAGGAGTGTGTGCTTTCAACAATAAAACAACTGCAAAGGACGAAAGACATACATACAGATGTCCTGGACATTGATGAATTTATTCAAATGTGTGAAAGCAAAGACATGACAATTACTAAATGTACCAATAAATCTAAGTCCAAATTTACAGTAATGAGAGCAAATTATATCAGTAATCTCATTGATAATATTGCTTTAAGATTCAACATATCTAATTCTGAGATTATTAATCAATTCCAAATTTTTGATCCATCCAAGCTTCTATGCATTTCAATTACAACAATTTTGGAAAGAATGCAATTTATTAAATATGTCACAGAATTGGATTGTATGTTGGTGAAACTAACAGAGAGTAGAATGACCTCAAGCAGTTCATCATAAGAAAAAAAAAAACAACTGTGCAATTGGTGAAATATTTGTATTGTAATGTGACACACAAAACTTTATTTCCAAATGTGTGCAAAATAGCTCAATGCTACAGACTTATTCCATTTCACACTGCTACTTGTGAAAGAGCCTTTTCACAAATTAAGATTGTAAAAACTAATAATTGCTTAAGCCAGGCTTCTTTAGATGCTATTATGAGGATTGTTGTAGAAGGTCAACTTGTATAGGCATTTAATTTTCAAAAAGCAATTAATTACTGGATACATAAGAAGTATAGGTGCATTAGACTGAAATAGTTGCTAAAGTGACTGTAGTTTAATTCGTAATTAAAGGTGCTCTTATGTCTTCATAATTGTATGTCAGTTCTGTTCTATATATTGCTTGACTAGGACACATGTTTATATAATGAAAAGTTGCAAAATTTGACTTAAATTTACACTGATCTAAAAGCCCTTCCCTGCAGCATAGAATTTTTCTCCACTCAAAAATTTCTGGCTATATCTCTGAGTTGATAGAGCACATTTCTACTACAAGTGATGACAAATTAGTGCACATTTTGGTGTTTCATAGATAAGAGTCAATCAAACTTTATATTACTTTGGTTTGCATTCCTAAAATTATCAGCATGTTCTGCATCTGCTCCCAGGAAATATTGTGATGTAACTCAAACAGCCACATCTCCAAAATTATTAAGAATAATATCCATGATCATTTTTTAAACTGAAGGTATAATTCAGTTTTAAAAAATATATTCATATAGACTTATGAAAATTTTTTTCTTATCAAAAAATTCATAAAAATCCCTAAATAAGTGACATGAGAAAAAAGTCATATTAAACTAATTTACATTAGCTTAAAAAAAAGATGGTTAAAATAACTAACAATTCCAAAATAATGACAACTGATTTCAAACTATGGTGTCAAATACATTGTTAAACTTGTTCAAGACAGAACAAGATTATTGATATGATGGGGCAGTTTTATTGACTACCCAACAAAAAAAATTCTGGATAGAACATTGTTTCTATAAATAAAAAAAAGGATTCTCTTGCATAAATGTAACACTAAATTATAGTTCAGATAAATAAGTCAAAATTATGATTTTTTGATACAGAACATACACCATGTTTATAAATCAAAAAGATGGCAAATTTGTTATCTTCCATGATAATACTGAAAATGTTAATAATAATGAAAATTTTCCATAGTTTTTAACACTGATAATATTAGTTCTATTCGATGGATAGGAATATATACTAATGCTTGTGTTGAATTTCTGATCATCTCATTCAATATTCACCATATTATTACAGATTGTTATTAAGTATTACACAGCTAAGAAATATCTAATTTTTATTGTAATTCACTTGGTTTCTTAAATTCAAGCTAATTTTTTGCTTTTATAGAAATAGAGGAAGATACTTTGGACAAGGAAATACAATGGGTGGTAATGGTTATGGACCCAGATCACAGAATATGGAAGCAGGGGGAAGTAGTGATGGAAATTTTGATTTTAACCAAGGTACATTGAGTTTATAAAATTTCATAATTTAATGTTTTATTAGTATGTAAGGAAAAAATTGTCAATTTTTTTTGTTGAGCACATACATTAATTATATAAGATGAGTATTTTGGGTAAGTCAAAAAAATTGATAGATATTAAAATAATTAACAAATTAATTATAAATTTTAATACGCTTGTAATTATTTATGTATAATATGTAATATTTTTTGTCATTCCTTATAAATCAACAGTCATCAATAACTTCATTCATATACAGTAGAATCTAATTTCTTTGCTTTTGTTTTTTTTTTTACATTTATTTTATTATAGATAATTTGTATATATTTTATCAAGATGACATAAATAACTTCTTCATTACAAGTTTGCTATATATAGATCAATATATTTGGAAGAGTTTGTTACAATGCTATGATGAATGAATAGAGAAAGTGAAATTAAGTTTATTTCCTTATCTGTAGTTTTCTATTTATTAAATCTTTAATTAGTCCAATTACAATTTATTGATTTTTAAAACCAGTTGCTGAAATTTTTTGTGGATACAAAATACATACAAAAATTATTATATTTCGAAATTATTCCATACATAATTATACTAATTTCTAAAATTAAAAATGTATATTAAATTTAATATACAAATTTTTACAAGTTATTATGCCAATTTTTACAACTTTTTTCTATATATAAATGCATATAACATTAGTTTGAAGATATTGTATAATTTTATTTTAAAATAATAATATTTCCTCTTAAGGATTTTATGACCGATCATCTCAGTTTGGTGATATGATGTATTCTGGAAATATGAATCAGATGCCAAGAAATCAGTGGGAAGTATCATATCCTATAAACACCAGGTGAGAAAATTCTTATGAATTGAAAAAAAAATTTTAATTTATCCAAAAATATAAGAGTTTAAACTGTAAATTCTGTAAAACTATAATTAAAGTTTTATACCTATTTATTTATTTACCATATGGAATACTTAATAACAATAGTTCTGAGCTATTTTGTTAATGTAAATATTTCTATTCTTTTAACAGATATATGGGATATCGACCAGATAATACAGATTATTCCTATTTTGGTCCTTATAATAATCCATCCAATGATTATGGCAATTATAGAGGAATGAATGCAACAAATTTTGATTATTCCAACAATTTCTCTGATGGATATGATATGTCACAAGATTATGGCTATAATGCTGATTTTGGATTTAATAATTATAGTAAGAAGTACTCTTAGTATTAATTTATATTTTATTTATTAATATCAATTCTCAAAATATCTCCAAATTTAATACCTTTGAGTATCTTGACCATGACTTTTAATAAAATTCATTCCTTTGTTAGCAGTGAGAAAACGTTCTAAATAAGAAAGTGACCTTAAAAAAAAATAAACTTTTAATTATGAAATTTCATAATATTTAATTTTTATCCTGAACATTTCAAATATATTAAAAAGAAAACAGTAAATCATTAATTTTAATATTCTTTTTCTTATGTAAAAACAGTATTATGTATGCACATGTGTGCACACATGAACACAAAGTTCTAAATATGATTTTAAATTCTTACTTTACAGGAAAGTCACTTTCACTGAGATTTATAACAAAATCCCATTTCCAGTTTTTCAGGTCAATAATGTTTGAAATACAACGCAATAACATTTGAAGAAGACTAGCTCCACCCCAAATGGTGGACAGACGCCACCTTGATAAACGAATATTGGAATATTTTTCTTCCAGAGGCAGAAGTGCACGAAAAAGATAATCACATCTCTACAAAAAATCATTACAATAAAAATAATTAAAATTAATGTCATTAATATAGTGATTTAAACATTAATTTAATATTCTAATAATATATAACTTACAGAATCAACATGAATGTAAAAATAATGTCTTTCATGATAAAGAACCCGAATTAGACGACGAACCTGACGGACGGCACGGCCATTAATAGTCAAAAGAAATACTATTCTAACTGTATCTGTTTCAGCCATAGCTCTTATACTATTAATGGATTTTGGCTCATGTTTTATAGGTTCTAAATAAAAATAAAAATTAAGTCAGTTTTTGCAAATTTTTATGTAAAAAATTATTTATTACAATATAACACCATTCAAGTATTAAAATATTTTTACAAAGTTATTTTAATATATATTTAAATTTTCAGAAGGATGTAGAAATTATTGATGTTAAAGCAAACATTAAAAAATAATTAAAGAGTAGAAAGTTAAGTGGGAAAAAAAAACAATAAAAACTAAAGTAACTGTTGTGAAATGATCTATAAACTGATCATAACAAGAATCTACATGCTTATCATGATAAGTACAGCTAGGCTCTTGAATCCTTTAATAATATAAACTGATCATTAGGCTCAGTTTATATTATTCATCAGATTGTTTCATTAATTACTTTAGTTTTAATTTCTTTTGGTGCTTCGACCCTTTTGACTTTCAAATCTCCAATTATGAATTGTCTAATAAATTATATTTTTATACTTATTGTAGCTGTAAGAAGAAATCTATTCACTTTAATGCATATTCAATGACATAATCAGTAATAAAATTTTTGAATTTGATTTCATATTACTTGCTATTTATTATTTTAGGGATAACAGCAAGCAATGTAAAATTAAATTCAAAAATTATTTTCAACTAGAAATTTCCTTTCAAGTATAACAGAATACTTTTTATGAGGAAGTAGAGATTCAAGAAATTGAAGAAGAGTTGCTAATATTTCTGCAAATTAAGTAGTTTATACTACATGGTTGTGATGCTGTTTCTGCAGCACTTGACAAAGCCATTCTTACTCGATGTTGCTCAAGTCAAACTTCATGGCCTTCAGTTGTTCTTACTTTTTCAGATCTAGAATTTACCTGATAAATTTTACTCTTACACTTTCCCCCTAGGCATTTTTTTTTTTGGACAAAGCAAGCAAATATTTTTAAATCCATATTGATAAAACAAAGATGAATTGTGTGTATGTTAGTTAGATGAGCAATAACATTTTCTAAATAACAGGGTCAATAGATCGTTACTTCCAACTGGATAATAGAAAATCACATGGTCACTATGGAAAGATATTTTTAAAAATTTATTATAGAAATGAGATGAAGCAACTATCTTTTTTTAAAGTTTAAATTTTATAAAATAAGTTTAAAATACACCATTTACCAAAGTATTTTAAAATGCAACTTAAGGAAAATTCATTTATCAAGCATGAACTAAATGAAGTCATTGATGTCACTGCAACTTACTGATAAGTAATTACTGATCCATAATCAATAAAACGTTTATTCTGTAGCTAATATTTTCACAAAATAAGTAGCCTATACCTTCTGTCAGAACATAAAAATGAATATAATCAAAATTTCATCTGAATTGGACAAAAATTGAAGTTATAAAGAATTTACACATACACAGATGATGGCTTTTATATTATTAGTATACATTGTTAAAGTCATAGCATATAATGAAACATATGAAAAAAATATTAAGTAAACATTATGTTAAGATCATTCTCACACACATACTGTATATATAAATTAATTTTCTATTCATTTATATAGCATGCACAGAAACTTACAAATAAAATCCCTTGTGTTTGTTTCATGCCAACTAATACAATTAATTTCTGCTTATTTACTACAAAGCTAAGATAAATCATTTATTCACAGAAAGCATGAAAATTTAGAATTAATTTTAACCTTACAAGGAATTGACTAATTTATATAATCCAGGTAAACAGAATTAATGTAACTGCTAGTATTTTAATAATCTCTTTTATAAACCTTGGAATTGGAGAAAACATAATAAATATTTTCAACAGATGGGTGCAATTGATCTTTGTCAATAGTGGTTTTGGAGTGCAATCACTTAGAAGAAAGTGCCATGTAATGCTTTGTTCTATCCCTTCTACTCCTCTTACCTGTGAATATATTTTTCACACTTGAAGATTTAGATTTATCAGTTAGACATTCTGAATGACAATAACAGTCTTTTTTACTCTTTCTAGAAAGTGAATTTAATACTGTGAGGTAATGTTAGATGATCTGAGAGATGTTAGTTCTACCACTTCAATTAATGAAAAACTTGAAAGATAATGATCTGATTGGAGAATTTAAAAGTCATATATGGAAATTCTGAATAAGACTCCTGTTTTAGAAAATGAGTTTAATCAAAGTCTATCTTATAGCTCAGGAGATGAATAACAAATTCGTAGCTAATGATTATTATATAGATAATGCATTAAATAAATCAAGGAGAAACAATTTGGCCATTTATAATGTTCAGAAAGAGGGAGAGGTTGCATTAAAGAAGGAGTTAACTTCCTTGTTCTCTTCTATGTTCAGTAATGAAGTCTTCAACACACAGGAAGTATTCCACATTTTTGACAATGGATTGAAAGGATCACTAATAATTGTTAATTTTTTCTCATTCCAAGTTAAGATTCAGGTATTAAAAAACTTTCTTGGCAAGAAGATATTTATATTTAAGAATATATGTATGTTTTAAATCATGATTATGATAGCTGAAGCTTATGCAAAACGCAGCAGAAAAATGAAAAAGGTGAGTATTATTTCATACTAATGTATTAATTATTAATTTTATAAAATACCTAGAGTGAGAATTTATATAAACTTATTGCTATGGACAGCTTTTTATTAAGCAGAATAAACTAGAAGTAATTAAAATAATGATCAGGCAAAAAAATTAAAATTTGAAGCATTGTCACATTGTGACAATGCTTCAAATTTTAATGCTTTGGAATATGCAGAGATATAAAGGAAACATTTGTAATTTTTAATAACAATTTAATAATTACTTTAACTGAAACTTGGCTCTCAGTCAGTCAACTTTCAGTTAAATATATTTTATACAACTGGCTTTCATTAAATTATTAAAACTAAAATGAACTGTACAAAGTTATTTGATCAGATTAGAACTGTGCTTGCATCACATCTACTATTTTACAAATCTTTCAAATTTTGGAGAAAATTAAACTTAATAGTGAAAATTTTTTGTTAGGTCAAACTCTCATACATTTAAAGGAAATACATTTTAAGTCAAAGAAGCCAAACAAATACACTTGCAATTGGTTTAGTCAGTTATTCAGATTATGTAACAATCTGAGTTTTTTTCTTCATGATATCCACGATATTACTGCTTTTGAATTACATTTTACTGAATTAAAGGATGGAAAATTTACATTAAAAGTATTATGAAGATACAGTGTGTTAGTAGGAGGAATTTAGGTTTGGCTATTTCAGCTAGCCTAATGGACCATATCTCTTGCCAAATACAGTGGGTGATCAGTAAACGAACATAATCCATTCCTAGACTTTGTTCGCTATCCGAATTGTTCATTAACCGATTATCGATTTACCATAGGTTTTAATGGGAATTTAATTCATTCATTCTGGAGACCCCCCAAAATAAAAAATATATGCTTTTTTACTACATTTATTTATATGTAATAATAAAAATACATACATAGACTGCCTTGCATTTTTATAAGTCACGTTTTTTCCATTTGAAAGGGTTAAAGAATCTGTCTAATATCAATTGCTTTTCTCTCTTCTTCAGGATTTTTCAGAAGTAATTAATAGCATTGCGATTGTAGAAATCCCCAAGCCTCAACCTGGTTTGGATGCCATTCTAAGACCATTGTTCAGACATCCTCCCACTTCTTCAAAAGATCTTTAATAGCAGATATTGACATTAATCCTCTTTTTCAGAAGAAAATATATCTCGCCGAGTTTCTTGACGTTCTTCATTCAAGAGTTCTTGGTGTTCTTCTGTCGTCAGATCCATTTCATGTTCCATTGTGAACTCTTCGATGTTCTTTATTTCTCAGATGTGATTTTTGTTACTCCTTTAGCTGCTCAAGTCTTCTTGATTATACAGTATCTTTCTTAAATAATATTGAACTGCGGCCTACTGTAGACCTGTTCACGCCATACTGCCCAGCAACATTAGGCATCTTCTGCCCACTCTCTACCTTTGCTATTATACTCTCACCTTTCAAAAAGAAAAAACAGATGCAAAACTCAACGAGTGTCTCTTCGACAGTCTCTCAAATACATAAAAGAATTGTTTTTGTCAGAAAAATAAAAGGCCAGAATTTCAAGAAAGAGTTTCAAAGTTCAGAGGAATACTATCCGATCGGTATATACTGGTTTGAGCGTCGATGTCAACTCCTGCACTCCGAAAAGTTTCGAATTGTTGCTTGAAGACAAGGGAAGACCAATCGGTATTCATTAGTTTATGTCGCTTCTTCTGTGTTTGTTCTGTGGAATGTTCATTGTCCAAACATAAAAATCTTTCGCAAAAGTGTTCGTTATCCGATTTGTTCATTAACTGATCACCCACTGTATTCCATTAACTGTGAAATTTCTGATTTGTCAAGTTAGATTGAATTGTTACAGATTGATAATTAATGTTAAATGTTTGAAGTTTAAAAATTTTGTACTTGTCTTTGTTTAGTTATGTTTATTATATTGTACCTCTAATCAAAGGATTTCCTAAAGATTAATAAAGGATGATGATGATGATAAATAAATGTTAGGACTTTCAAATTGATGAAAAAGCAATGCTAAATAGAAATAACAAGTTGAAAGTTCTAACATTTCTATTGTTAAATAAGATTTTCTTCTTATATTATGATATTTCTTCAACTGATTATGCAGTTTACAATAAATAAAACATACTTTAAGAATTAATATATTCAATTTCTTCATTCAGAATTAATATTTCCAAAACAAATTAATTTCATGGTAAAAATGATTAAAAATTATTTTTTAACCAAACCAAACAACTTAAAATTATGATAAATCAAAAATATTCTAGAAATAAAATTCTTGGATTAGACAGCATTTTCTGTTTTAATGAAAAATTGACAACTAAGGAAAAAAATAAAATAAATAAATTAAAATTTATTATAATTTCAAAATAATTATCAATTAAAAAAATAATAATAAACAAAAATTAAAGAATCAAAAAATAAAAATGCTCACTTGGAAGACCAGTTCTATAAATATTCATAGTTAAATATCCCCCGCAACGCATTTGTGGCTCCTTAGGGCAAGCCATATTGCATTTGTTGGCATGAGTTTTAAATTCTTTAGAAGGAACATTATTACCACAAAAACATTCAACACTGTACTGTACACCAGCAAATTGAAAACCAAACCGAAGACATTTATCAATACACAATGCAGGAGTATTATTATTTAACTTAAAAACATAACCAGACAATAAGCGTTTCTTCACTCGATCAACATAGCAACCCAAATATTCACCCTGTTTTCCACCTAATGCAATGAAACAAATAAAAAAAAAATATTTAAAATAATTAAAACATAAAACATTTAAAAAATAACAAATTTGTCATATAAAATTTTTAAAATTAACTCTTAAAAATATTGAGCAAATGTACAAAACAATTATAGAACAAGGAATAAACAAATTTAATCATATTAATCAATACAAAAAATTTTTTTCTGATATTATATAAATATAAATGTGTATCTATAATCTTGTATGCACTATAATATATTTTTCTAACAAATTCAAAATTAAAAATGCATTATTATATTCAAAAATAAGGCATTTTCACATAACTATGGCCTTAAATTGCATTTAATTAAGAATAAAAATATTCCAAAAAATAAACTCTAAAATTTCCAAATACAGAAAAATCTTAATTATTCAAGATAATGTAGGCCGTAGAATGTATCTTACATCATCAGGAGTCTCCAACCTTTTTTTGAGATAGGCCATGTGAGCTGTAGAAGACAAGGGCGAGGCCAGGTCAAAATATATAATCAAAAATTAAGATTTTTTTTATTTCTGAATAACCAAGGCTATATATTAATTAATGTGAAATTTTCAACTGTTTTTTCAAAATAATCTCTTTTAGATTTTTATTGGATGGTGATTTTTGATATTTTTGACAATGTATTTCATTTTAAAAAAGTTTGTTTGAATATTATAAAAGTAAAATTTATTAATGATTAATAAATGTATTATAGCATGTGCTGTATTGCTTACCTTAAAATATTTTTGGTTTTTGCTTATCATGACTGACAAATGCAAACTTAAAAATTGCATATTTATTGTACAAAGGTTGAAGGAGAGTAAAATATCATCATCTGAGCTCTCCACTTTCATCTTATTCATTTTGACAGTGAAAAGTTTCATAAAGATGCATGATAACTATCTTGCTGTTAAATGCTATTTATATTTAACACTATGCTGCTGTACCATTTTCTTAAAATATAATATCAAAGACATTTACTTTCTGGACTGACACTTCCTTTCAAGTATTTCTTTATAACATGCAATTCTATTTGACACTACTCTTTTAAGTACAGAACTTCATTCAAAATTTTCAATCTGTTCAAAACCTGCCAATTCCTTTTTCAATAAAGCTAACATATTCAAATTTTTTTTTTTAACATTTCACTGATGCAAAGTGAACCTTCATCTGAAACAGACTCCATTTCAAAAAGCAATCTTCTTTGATCTTCAAGCATAGGAAAATGTTCATTTGTCAAAAACAGATCGCGAGAAGCAAATAATTCTATAACAGGTAACAACAAAGTGACCTTTCATATGTTTCCAGCAGTGACAATAATTTTATGTTATAATTCTGTAACATCTTCAAGCTCCACTTTCAGTTCCAATTTTCTTAGCCATCAAAACAATGTCTGCATTGATAAAAAGCTGAAAGCACTGCTGATGAAAAACTGCTTTAAGAACGAAAGCACCCAAAATAATAAAATGAATGATAATGTGGTGTTTTTCAGTTTATAAAGTGCAGTAAAGCAGCATACACTCATAATAGAATCAAACAAAAAAATCCATATCAGATATCTTTGAATTCTATTCTCAATCAAATGAACAATAATCATTAAGATGATTGTAGTGATAAGCATAGTTTTTACTATAATTTGAACAACATGCAAAAAACAAAACAAAACAACATTAAAAAAGATCCTTCAACTAATTCAAAAGAAAGCTTAAAAATGTGTAAATGTAATTTTTATTCCTCTAGTGTAAAACAAACAAGAAGATTGCTTCTAATTTTTTGTATTTTTACAGAAATGTTTATGTTTTGAATAACTTTGTAACTTGCAGAAGCAGAAGGTAATTATAATAACTACACACTTAAATTACTTCTAAATTCCAGCAAGAAACTTTAACAATAAACTAATGCTTTCAGCAGTTTTTAAACAGTCATCCTCAGGTTTACAAAACATTCAAATATTCAAATAACATTAATGTTTTTGAACATGTAAATTAAATTTTATGGAATATAATTAATTAGTTAATTATATCATATAATTATAGTATTCAAGGAATACTAATTCTTTGAATGTAAAAGTAGATAAAGAAAACATTTTCTTTTATATAGATTAACATTTAAAATTATAAGAATGTTAAATTTACTTCACTTATTACATATATATTAGAAAAAACATAGAATACTAGGAAAGATAATAACTCAAAATAAAATATATAATCAATAGTCAACATTAACATATTAGCATATTAAAGAATTTTACTGTTTAAAGTTGTGTTTATTAGTTTTATCAACAATGTTAATGAGAGAGAATAAAAATTGTTATAATTTCATCATAGTAAAAGGAAGAAAGAATTAGTTCTAACAAGCAATTGTGATAATTCATTTTTTGTATTCAAAACATAGTAAATAATTGAAAAAGAATTAAATTATAATATTTGTAAAATAATAAATTTTTACTTTTATTTTAAATTTATTACATTTTCAAGTTTAAGATGCCCAAGGTCATTGTTTTTGCAGATGATGATGATGATAATAATAATAATAATCATTAGTAAAGGGGTACAGCCTACTTAAGAGTGTAGGTTGAAGAAAGGAAGAGTATAAAGGGATAAAAAATATACTAGTATTGATGCTTTTAATAAAATAAGAAAAATATTTGATTGTTAATAATGGTCATTACTTTTTAATTGACAAAATATGTTTATTGAACAAGTATAAAATAACCAAAATACTTTTTAAAAGCAATTGTAAAATTTCATTATTAAACTTATTTTAAATTAGTAATAATTGCTGTAGAGTCCATAATAATGATCTAAAAGTTTGATTTAACTTCTTGGTTAAAGAAGTCTTAACAGTTAAAATATAAAAAGTTTTCCAAGTGTCTTCTGTCAGCTTTACATCTTTCTTTTTGAATCAAATAAATATAAAAAGCTGAAGTAAGTTAATCAAACTTTTAATGCTGGAAATCTGCCAAACATTTATACTATGTAGGCAGTGATGACATTTAAAAAATATAATTCTCTTAGAATTTGTTTTTTTTTTTTACTCTCTCTTCTAGAGTATTTCATTATGTGCTGTATCAACAAAGCCTTCTTTAAACAAGAAATTAGATCAAAATTTAAATAAATACAGAGAAGTCAAAAGATAATTCAATTTCTTAAAAATAATCAAAAATATAATTAAAACCTTTTCCTATTTATCTATTATTTAGGATAAACTTTCTATTAAAATTAAATAGGCATAATTAATAGCAAATTTATTTATTTTTAATATATTCAATTAGTCCTGGTTTAATGTTTTAGCTTATTAAATAATAATAAATCATTATATTGTTTATTTAGATGTAACAACAACATAATCAGTGGCTACTACAAGTACTATTTATGTTGATAATTAATTATATTTCAAAAATCTGTTTAATTTAATCTTACCTTCTATTGGACAATATCTAGGTAATCTCTTTGGATACAAATTTCCTTGTTGAATAAGGCACGTAATATTGACTAGTTCTTGTTTACAAGCCTGAGTAGTAGCTCGATGTATAGCTGATATAGTTTCTTTGTTTGTTATTTCACACCATGGCTTGAAATCTAATTCGTCTCGATTCAATTTTAATATTTCTTCACTTTTATTACTATTCGTAGTACTATTATTACTGTTTGAAGTTTTATCATTTACTACCAATCCAGGCACTTTCAAAGATTTATTTTTTATATATTGTAGATCTTTTGCAGCAGGTATAGCAGGATCGGCAACTCCTTTCTGTTTTTCTGCATCTTTAGGTGGAATATTTCGGCTACTGCTATCTTTCATAAGACGATCCCACGCATTACTCAGTGTATCTTCATCATCTGTTAAATAATCATCTAGGAATCTATTTACCAATGGGTCTAAATAGGAAATTTGTTTTCTTTGAAATTGATGATTCGGCTATTAAAAAAAATTGATAAATTAATCAACTTGTATTTATTTATGAATGATATTTAACTATAATTGATTCTTATTTATTATATATCTTTAAAAAAAATAATAAATACACAGTCAATACCAAAAAGTATACAACTAATAGAAGAAACAGTCTTTCAGAATTATGATAATAATTTCTTGAAGTATAATAATTTCTCAGATAATAATTTCTTGAAGTACAGTTGGGCAAATGCCCAACTGTACTTCAAGAAATTATTATCATACATAATGCTAAAAGACAGTGTTTCTTTTATTAGTTAATTTTCTATTATATACTGGAGTTTCAGTACAATATTATTTTCAAATATTCTTTGATAATTTATTTTCAAAATTTCAAATTATTCAGAAAATATATTTTATGTTAAGAAAAAAAATTTATGATTAAAATAACATTAACATTAAATATTTACTTTTATATACAAAAAATACAAAGAACAATTAATCTGTGATTTAATTTTGAAATTTTAGAATATATAATTCTTAATAAGAATTAAAAATAATTTATTCTTGCGAGCGCTTTCGACGTAAATATGCACATCGTCTTCAGGCAATTCAAAAGCGCTCGCAAAAATAAATTATTTTTAATTATATTTAACGCCTCATAGTCTGAAGTTTTGGAAGAAGTTTTGATTGAGATAACTGTTGGCATGACATCCAACCCCAGTACTTAATACTCTTAATAAGAAATATCTTACATGCAAATGTTGGAGTTTAGCTTATCAGAATATAAAATTCATTAATAAGCAATATCTACTAAAATTATAAAATTAACTGATCAATGGACAAACTTAAAATAATTCATTAAGGATCAAAATATTAAAAGTACAAAGCTAACACATTGTTTTTTCTTGTGTGTTAATTAAATTTGTGTTATGTAAATATTTAATGTCATTCAATTATTACATTATAGAAAGTATCTGACAAAATTATCAAATTTTTTTTAATTAGTAAAATAATCTTAATAATGTTAATTATAATACTAATTAGGAAAGAAATGCTAACATGCTTACAGAATATTTAAAACTGATAGGCTTTTCATCTTCAAAGTTATAGATCAAAATCTGAATCATTTTTGTTAACAGTAAATATTTGTTAAGTGTAAAATCATGCTGTAAGAGAGTCAATATGAATTTGTTTGAGCAAAAAGAAAACATTAATTAAAAATACAGCTGCTTCAGGTAAATATATTATAAAGCATTTAGTACAGTACTGTAAAAATTTTAAAATACTCCATTACAATAAAATTCAACAAAAAATGTACTTTAATAGCATTAAACAATATAAAAAAACATAAGAGAAATTGCTTCCTGTTCAAAAGCAGATGAAAAATGGTAAAGCACTTTCAAATTTCAAAAAAAATTTACTGCAAGACTAATGCACACTAATGCAGAAAAAAATGTCTTTATTCAATACATTTTTCTAAAGGAAAAATGATATAGTGCAAATTTGTAAGTCAAAACATTGTTATACAAAGTATTTTAATTTCAAACAAATTCATTTTGTTAGATGATATACATACACTGATCAAGCAAAGCATACTAAATGTCTTGCTACACTCTTTTTCATGCATGCATGTGATAACCTATTGCAATTGCAACCAAGATATCTTCCACACATTGATGAAAAGCATGTGCAGTTTTTATGTAGCATAGATGCAGCTGTGTCAAGAAGACGACAAAAAGGATGTTTGACAACAATTAATCAAAAATGAATTGAAGGAAATATTCTTCAAAATTTCTTAACAATGAACTAAGAAATGATGAAATTAAATTTCGAAATTTTATTCAATTAAACTTTGATTGTTTTGATTATATTCTAAATCTTATTAAAAATGAACTGATAAAATACAAAAATGTAATACTAATCTGTGGACAAGCATTACACCAGAAAAAGATATTACATTATATTAAGTATACATTATTTACAAATACTGTATAAACATCTTAAACCCAATAAAATATATTAAAGCCAAACAATTTCTGAATTATATCAGGCTATGTTACTACTAAGTTCTGGACAAAGGCTGCTTAACATAACTGGCAACTTGACTGCACGATAAGTGGACATTGCAGGTTTGAGTCTCAGTTTTGATCAATTCTTTTCTTCCAGAATCTTCTAAATTAATTATTAAAATATTAATTTAATTATAATTAATAATAATAGTAATATAGTCTGACATAATCAGGTAATCATTGGCTTTAGTATACATTTTTTTTTTATATACAATTTCTTTCAAAAGTTTGTCAATGACATCTTTATTGTGATGATTTTACAAAGAAAGATCATCTTTCTTCAATTAAAACAATTAACCTTTCTGTATCTAACATATCAGGAATTTTATTGCAATGGAATATTTTTAAATTTTTACAGTACTAAATGCTTTATAATATAAATATTTACCTGAAGCAGCTGTATTTTTAATTAATGTTTTTCTTTTTGTTCAAACAAATTCTTATTGACTCTCTTACAGCATGATTTTATACTTAACAAATATTTACTGTTAATGAAAATGGTTCAGATTTTGATCTATATCTTTGAAGATGAAAAGTCCATCAGTTTTAAATATTCTATAAGTATTTCTTAGCAAATATGAACAACATGTGGAAAGATTCTTGTCAGCTATAAATGCATGTGACAGACAAGAAAATGTTTGCCCATTGAGCGAGGATCTGTGTTAGCACATTCTACAAGTTTCAGCATACTTAAACCTGTGTGAATGTGTCCAATGAGGGACTGTTTCCCTCAGGTAAATGTCTTTAAACAAAAACATTTTTTCAGATACTAAAACACTTTAATGTACACTGATCAAACAAAAACATCTTTAGACAAAACATTTTGTCAAAAAATGTCTAATTTGAGATATAATTTTGTGTTTTGTTTGATGAATGTGCATTGGGACCTATGTAAGCTATTGAAAAACATTTTTATATCATTTAACATCATCTTCCTTAGGAATGCATCCAGCCTAAGGAAGATGATTTCTATCATTGAATGGAGACTATATAAAATTGAATTAAGTTCATCTTTATACAATAACACATACAACTTCATTAATGCAACAAAGGCCAAGGTATGTTGCAACACCTGGCAACGTTTTGTTTAATTAACTTAAGTCTAACATACTGCATACATTAAAAAAAAATTTTTTTATCTGGATTATGTTACAAATGAAAATGCATCAATTTTTGTAAAAAATTATTTAATATCTACACAAGCATATATGTTAACATATACAGTTCTTCCTACAAGATGCCATTTTTAAAAATACTCTCCTACACAACAGCTTATGCTCACTCAACATATGCATAAAAATTTGTACATTGTGTTCAAGACTACAATAAGTTCTGAGTCGTATAATGTCATCAGATCATTCATAATTATAGCAGAAATAATGCCATCTCGTTTTAAAATAAATATACTAAATGGCAAATAAATTAACTCAGGCAGTTACAAGTCAATGAAGAGATCCCTCTAAAAATCAACTCAGGTGTAACCTTGAATGAGTTAAAACAATATACATGAAACTAGTCCATACACCATTATTTTATAAGGAAAATAAACAGGGGAAAAAACTTGATTTAAAAAATCTTTAATTGCAGATTTGGTTGTCAATAAAAACATTATGTTGACTTGACAATATGAAGTTACAATTTTCTATTACAAACTTGAAAAAAAAAAAAAAGGAAAATAATGTAGAAATTGACAAAAATGATTGAGAAACATAGAAAATTTGTCCTTTCAACAAAAATCAAATTAACATTTTATATTAGTTAACAACAAAGAAAGATTTAATAAAAGAATAAAAAGGCATAAAACTATTTTTTATCCCTTATAAGTTGCAATTTTAATTACAATCTATTTTCATTACTATCAAGGTTACTAAGATCTTGCTTTACTGAAGAAGTCAATAAAATTAGCATGCATTATAAAAGTTTCCTTACTATACTCTTGACACATTCTCAATGAAACAGACTGATATTTATTTTTTTATTATTTCTAACTTATTTTATTTGTTTTTTTTATGAAACTCCAAAAATTATTTAAAATAGTTTAACATTATTTGACTATTATACAAATATATGCACATCATTTAATTGATTTCAACTTTAGGAAAAATATTCTAAATAAAATTCAAAGTTTGAAACAATTTAAAGATTAAACTTAATTATTTTGAATACAATAATTATTATTTTTTTTAAAGTTAAAAGTGCTAATATAAAAATTACTTTTGCCAATGAAAACAGAGTTCAATTAAACAATTAACTTCAAAAGTCTTGTTTCTAAAATTTATTAATTAAAATAATAAACACTAAGGTTCTTAACTAAAAACAACTTCAGATTATGATAAAGTTTTTAAGTTCAAATTTAATAAATAATTCAAAGATTTTAAAACCATTAAGACATTGTAAACAATTTTAATTAAATGTGACAAGGTTTAACATGTTTTAAAAAAATCTAGATAACATCTTTAAAAATCATGTAAAACTTATTTATTAAATTAGTCAACATTTGAAAGAAAAAAGTTACATTAAACGTTTGAGATATTTTTATGTCATCAGTTGGTAACACAGAACACAAATTTACTGGATTTATAATTAAATGTAAGGTTAAAGGTTCTTTTTTAATGAATACTTTCATAATTCTAATGTACTTAAAAGCTAGAATTTAAATTTTCAGTTATTAATTTATTTTTTAAAATGTTCAACATGCATTGTGTAAATTAAATTTACACAATGCATCTCAATTTATATATTTAAAACTGTTGAACTGATATAGATCTTTTTTGATAAATCTATTAAATGGTCCATACTCAAGGATCAACTTTGGTAACTATCTTTTTTCAACAGTTAAATCTTGTTTTGAAACAGCTTTTACTAATTCTTCCACTGTCTTAATTAAATCAGATTAAATGATTACTATTAATTCATATACTCATTTCAATTTAACATTTTCATCCAACATGC